CTTCTCTCATATCATCTCCTCCCTCCTTCCCTCTTATATCATCTCCTTCCTCCCTCCCTCCCTCCCTCTTCTCTCATATCATCTCCTCCCTCCTTCCCTCTTATATCATCTCCTTCCTCCCTCCCTCCCTCCCTCTTCTCTCATATCATCTCCTCCCTCCTTCCCTCTTATATCATCTCCTTCCTCCCTCCCTCCCTCCCTCTTCTCTCATATCTTCCTCCCTCCATCCCTGTCTTATATCTCCTTCCTCCCTCTATCCCTCTTCTCTCATATCTCCTCCCTCCTCTTCTCTATCTTCCTTCCTCCTTTCCTTATCTCCTTCCTTCCTTCCTTCCTCCTTCCTTCCTGTTTCTTTAACATTCATTTAGTCCAGGGCACTTTTGCATGTTCTTTTTTGATTTTGATATCTCTCATATTTCCCATTCTTTACAATCCAGGAAGAACATTGAGTTCCGCCTGCTCTCTTTTTCTTCAGGCTGCCCTTTTGTATATGCTAATTTTAGACTGTTCTGCCAAATATTCGAAATCGCAGGAGATCTCTATTTTAAATTTACACGCCACGCAGCTGACATGTGTGATTAAATAGCAAATCCGGTCTAAGAAGTTGCATGTTTTTGAATCGGATAAAGCTGCCGTGGGCGCAATGTTTTCAAACAGAAAAACATTGGAGAATGTTATTATCTGTTTTTATTTGTGCACGTTGCCCTGAATTATATGTGGATTGGGTTGGTAACTATACAAATGGACTAAATGAATAAATACAATTGAAACTTTCTCCTTAATCTCTTCAAAGTTTGCTCTAAATATTGATCTATGCAAAAGTCCGTCTTCCGCACTCATTTTATTGTGTGGCAGATTTTCAGAACTCTTCAGATTCCTTTGGTTGTTTTTTCCCCCCAGTGTGACGCAATGAGTGTGTTAGAAAAAGAGCACGACTACAGGGAAGAACACTTTGATTTCATTCAGTCGCACATTCGTAGGTTCTGCTTGCAGTGTATCCTTTTTCCTAAGTTGAAGTGGTATATTAAAGCAGTGCTTTATAAACTTGAAACGATGTTTAACGCGAGTCCAATGCTGTTCTTTGTATTGTTTCCATCAATTGAAAAACAGTCACATGCTATGCTTTCATTTGCCTTTTACGAGCACATTTTCAGATTTAAAACCACAAAGGTCAGCTGTCAGGGTTCCAAGGAATAACCTCAAAGCAATCAAAACTCTCAGGCCTAGAGTTTCCTCAAAGAATATATTTATTTGGGATGTCATATTGGCATGGCTGGTGAAAACCTGACTCTGAAGGGCCCAGGGTTTCCCCCTCTCAAATCAAAGTCCCTTGCCCTCCAGGTCATATGTCTAATTGGATCATAGTCCTAACTCCGACTGGCTTCGGTCCGCACTCTTCCAACACCTGGCAAAGCATCCTTGGCTCCCACAAGAAAGGATGTTATTTTGGCTACACATCCCCCCCCCCCCAAGCTATCTCTACCTCCCCCCCATATATGCATTCCCACAGCTCCCTCCCGGCCTCCCTGTAGCAACTCTGAAGATGTCTCCAAAATGGGTCTAGGGCTAAACCAGCATCTTCCATTTTCTTGGTGATGGTGAGAGATTTTGTATTTCCAGTAAAGGCTGGTAAATGAACAGCAGTTTTAGATGTTCTGTATCTTAGCAGTGAACAGTTCCAACCCCATGAATGTTGACTCTGAGAGAAAATCTTGCTGTTGTCCTGGATCCTACCTGCCAGTTCAGCTGCTCTTAAGTAGATTTATAGGATTATGCTGCAAGTGCAATTAGTTAATTTGTGAATTATGTTTAAATTAATAAATTAATTTTGCTAGGAAACAATATGGCTTCTTTAGGAATTCTTGTATTTCTTTAAACTTAGCCTTATTGTAATAACTTTTGAATTTGAAAACTTTTAACATGCTCATTTCTGCATTGTGCTACCCTCCTTACCTTGGGCTTAAAATTAGAAGGATGGGCTGCTTCACACCATTACCATTTGGGCCCATTGTCATCAATACATAGTAAATAAACATATGGTGTAAAGTGTTGGACAGGTGACCAACGCCTAGTTGTTGTGTTACTCTCTCACAGGGGTGCTCTGGGGAAAAGAGGAGAAAGCAGCAACTTACTGTCTTGAATTTCTGAGATAAAGGCAGGATATAAAATTAGCAACTAGATATATCATTTAGAAACAGATACTTACTTTTGAGAGACTTAAATGTATACATTCAGTCCTTGAAATTTGCTACTTTGCCTTGGAATTTTCCTTAAACAAAACGAATAGATGGAGCGGCCTTGATCTATACATCCGTTAAGGAGGAGAAGAACCTTGACTTGTTATATAAGTACATTGTACATAAAAAATATGGCTTTCACTTTGCAACCCCTGCCTTAGTGGTAGAAAAGGACGCAGTTTTTATGTAAGTTGAAGGGCAAAATAAGAAGCATCAAAAGGCTACTGTATGTTGTGGCTGCTAGTGGCCAACGGAGCTGGCTGCAGATTCGGACAGTGAGGAGGTTGGGGAGGAACATGGGCCAGGCTCTGATGAGGGCTCTCTGTCGGAGGCAGAGAGGGGGCGAGAGCCGTATGCCAGTTATCAGCTGCCTTCAGAGTCAGATGTCAGTGAGGCAGACAAACAGCTGGAACATGTTCCCAGAGTGCCCATGCACAGAGTTGCCAGACAAAGGGAACAGCTAAAGAACAGGGGTCGACTTGGGACTAAGTCCACACACAGGTGGACAATGAATGGCCCCTCCCAGAGGAAATAAAGAGAAGCGAAAGAGTGAAAGGGGAATGGAGTTTGCAGGAGACAATTAGTTTGCTTAATTGGTTCATGACTCTCCAAGACTCCTTGCCAAGTTTTGCAAATATCATCCTGGCAGCTCTCCAAGCCAGATAAGGTCTGTGACTGTAAATCCTCCCTCAAAAGACTTTGCTGGATATGAATGAGCAGAATTCACAGTAAATTAACAAGGAGTTCTTTGGAAGCCAAGGTCAGAACACGGTAACTGAAACACAATATTTTTCTGACTTGGTGCAGGGGAGATGAAACCTACGTAAAAGATGCCAATATCTGTCAATTCTAATAGAAATATGTCTTGAGTAATATTGTCTGGATGCAATTAATCTTATAGTAATTCCTATAATTATTTGAAGAGCACCAGTTTTGGAAGAGATGCATAGTTTTCATGCTCTGGGTAGACTTAAGTAACTTCTTGGGATTGGTCTTTTCTGGTTAGCATTTCATCTTCATGCCTTTGGCTCTTTTTTTGAGAAATGTCCTTTGTCTCCGAATTCTCTTTTCTCGGTACCTCCCAGAATTTCCTTTGAAAATTATTGAATTTCAATAAATATGGCAAATAAGCACTGAAATTAGTTTTATTCATTTTAATCATAAAATAAAACTTCCTAGTTCCCAAAACCTGTGAATAAAATTATTACACGTGTGTGATAATTTCATTCACCGCAGCCCTCCTCTTCTCCCTGCCCGTCAAATAAATTGTCTGCCCCAATTTACAAGTGTCTCTTTTCAAAGGGAATAAAAGACAGGCAAATCACTCCTTTATGTCCAAAAACACATTTCTGAAAAAAAGATGTGCTTGCAAGAATGGCAATTCTTTTCTCTAGACCTGCTGGCTGGGACAATGAAAAGAAAATTGCAATCCTGCATGAGAATTTCACAACAGTGAAGCCGGAAGATGCATATGAAGACTTCATCGTGAAGCCGCCTGTAAGAAAGGTATGGCTGCTTTGAACTCTGCTCCATTATCCTTTATGTGAAACTAGCTGCTGGCCATTGACACTGAAGTTCATACCGTATTTCCTCGAAAATAAGACAGAGTCTTATTTTCTTTTGACCCCCGAAATAAGCATTTGGCCTTGTTTTCAGGGAGATCTTATTATTTTTGAGGTGCAGGAGGCAGTGAGTGTGGTCACCTCATGGCTGCTGCTGTGCTGCAATATTTTTTGGAAGGGCTTATTTTTGGGAGAGGGCTTATTTTAGCGTAGGCACTCAAAAGCCCAATTGGGCTTATTATCTGTGGAGGTCTTATTTTCAGGGTATTTTAAATTACATTAAACTTTTGTTTGGCATCTGTAATGCGGAGTAGTGAATCTGCTAACTATTCACTTATGAACTACTTGGAGAAGTGCTTCTTGGGACTTTGTTGACTAACAAAGAGCACTTACAAAAAACAGAACGCTACTTTCCACCCCAGGCAAGGAGCTGTGGTTTGGTATGGAAAAGACCAGAATAAAATGGCTTGGGTCCAACTAACCATGAGTGGAAGAGTGCTCTGAGACATGGAAGCGTTCTGAGGAGGCTTTTGATGTACGTCTTCCCCTGCCTCAGGCACAGAATTTTGCAGGAGGAACCCAGAAGATATTTCCTTCTTAACTACCTGAGTTTATCAGCCTGGCAGTCATCTTTGTAGCCCAACAGCATTTAACGTGTGCAGGCTGTGGCTGCTTGTGCCTATACAGTCTAAAAATGCTGGTCCAGAAGTGGGAGTTAAGCCCTACACTTCCTACTCTGGCAGCAAATCAAGGAAGCTGATTACTCCTTAGCTGTATCTGAGAAAGTCACTCTCCCCGTGTGGTGAGAGAAGCCATTGGCTTCTTTTGCGTATGGAGAAATGGGTCTTTCCTAGAACGGAGCTGTGTTCCACCCCTTTCCATGCACAGCAAATGAGGGGGGTGTCATTTGCAAGGGGTTGCCCTTGCAATGTCCAGGGGCCATCTCCAGGCCTTCTTCTCTGTGTTGAACTCAGCCCAGAGTGACTGTTCAGCAAGACTTCTAACCCTAAAACTCCATGCTTACGAAGTGGAACGGAAAGTGCTACCATAAGCCAGGCATTTGCACGTAGCAATTTTCTGCAGTTTCCACACATTACATCCCAGTTTGGCGTGCGTATGGGTGAGAGGGACACCCTTGTGTATTGTTTCTTTCCTTGTGTGTGTGTTTTTCCCCCCTAAGATCCAAACAGGTGTTTGCATCCACACTTCTTGCATTTATTACACCAGATGTCAAGGCGTATAATAATCTCCCTCCGCCCCTCCCCTTGACTGCTCTTAATGGAGATCATTTCAGATAATTGAACATCTGTTTGTGAGAAAACCCTTTCCTCCCTTTTTTTTTATTTCCCTTGTCAGTTAGTTCATGATAAAGAGTTTGCGGCAGAAGATGAACAGGTCTTTCTAATGAAGCAGCAGGTAAGTGGGGAAAAAAAGCACTATTTTCTGTTTTTGCTTGTCTCTGGTGCTTAGGATATTTTAAAATAGGATCTATGCATCATGAGACTTTGGGTCTCAATGCAGCCCCCTAATTCCCCCCTCCCCCCAATGCTCCCTTTTTGTAGCCTTTGCATCCCTTTTTGATCACAGTTGCAGAAAACCCACCTTCATGGTTTGCTGGCAGGTAAAGCTCAAAACATTTAAAAATTTCTCAAATTAGAGGAACATCATCTTGGTCTTCTCCATAGAGCATTGACTACTTAGCATTATTATCCTACTACTACAGACCGTAATCCTCCTCTTTTTCCTATGATAGTAAGTCTTCAATGAATCTCCAGTAAGCAGAATCCTTGCCAGAAGGACCAGGCTGTAAAGCTCCATGGGAGAAAAATAATTCCCAGAAATTATATGCAGAGCGAAAGTGGTGCTTTCTCTGTTTTGCGTGGTGGCTTTCTCTCAAAAGCAATTCTTGGAATTGTAGTTGTCTGATGTAGTGAAAGAGATCACTGTGTCTGGTCGCATGGGGCTTCTCTAATTCGTGGATGAGCTGTTTCCTTAGGGTAATTTTGAATTTTAATTTAGAAATACTGCTCTTTTTTTCATTTGAAACTAGTGACTCTGATTCACCCTTATCAGACATATATAACATAGGCACAATATGCCGTCACCCTGGTGTTGCTGAACACATCTGCCATTGTCCTTCACTGTTAACTATGCTAGATGAATTCGTGTTCACAAACATCTGGAGTGCTGTACGTTGTGCCTCCATGAGTGAGCGAGTTTGTTTGTTTGTATCCTGCCTTTATTATTTTTGCAAATAACTCAACATATCGAAAACCCCTTCATCACCTCAACCAGCCCTTTTAAGATTAGGACTAGAACTAGCCCAGTCTCCTGCGTATTGACCTTAAGTCATGCAACCGGTTCCACCACAAAAGCGCGTAGGACAAAATCGCGCTCGACANATGATGATGATGATGATGATGCACTTTTCCTGATTACTTCAATTCTACAGCAGTATTAGAGGCAATGAGTAATTGATACAAGATTAATATGCTCAGCTTTGTGTTGGTTTTTTTCTTTTTTACAGAAGAATGGAAAGAGCAGAAATACCCAACCTCGGTGAAAATGGCATACAGTAAAAGCTCAGTGTGTGTGGTTTAAAATGTATGACTTCGGCGAATACTTGCTTTGTATCTAGGGAATTAACAAGAGGGGCTCTTTCCAATAATATTTAAATTTGAAGATAACTGTATGTTATTTGCCCAGTGCAATTATGTTGCATATTGATACTGTATACAATTCAAAATGACCCCCATTGTCTTTTAAGGAAGTGTATAATATGATACCACCTGTAAAAAAAATAAATTTGAAAAGAATGACTCAGAAGCAAATATGAGTCTAACGTTTTATTAAACTGAATTATGCTTTTGCGTTCCTTTCAAACCATTTGGGCTTTTCAAGCTCTCGGCAACGGAATCCAGTCTCGCAACTGATGCTGCTACAAAACGGTGCGGCTCCGTTTATGCCCCTTGCAAGCTCCGCATCCTCTTAGTGTAGTAGTAAGGGGGAGGGGAGGGGGCGGGGCTAAACCGAGGGATTACGGTATTGTGCCTGTATCGAAACCTTCGGGCGTAACCAAAGAGCCTGCTGCGCTCCTTGTCGCCACTAGGGGTCCCTATTTGGCGCAAACTGGGCGGCGGCCCCGAAAATCTTGAACTCATCCTCCAGCGAAAAACCCGCTGCCGTGGGTGTCCTCCGAACTGCCTGATCGAAAAAGAGGGGGTGGCTCAGCCTCCCGTGGGAACCAAAGCTTCCGCGTGTAGTGAAAGCCGCCGATGAAGCCACGAACGCACTTGGGGCGCCGGAAAAGGCTTCCAAGAGAGGGCCCCTCAAAAAGAAAAAGAATAGGCATCCGTCCGGACAGTCGGGGTCCTTAGCCGAGAGCGTAGGAAAGCTGGGGTCCTGCCGGCGGAGCCTGGGCGGATGAGGTCACTCTTTGTGGCGGCTGCCGTTGGCAAGATGGCGCCGGTGTTGGCAGAGAAGAAGCTGCTGGAGCCGGACGGGCCTTTGGCTGCGGACCTCCCCAGCGAGGAGGAGGAAGGCCAGAGCCTCTGGTGAGGCAGCCGGGCCGGGGCTTCAGGCGGCTGCGGGGGAGGTTTTGGGGAGACTGGGCGGGGACGGCGTTGCATCCTCTCCCTTCGCAGGTGGGACTCGGCTTGGCAGGGCCGGTTGAGGGGCTGCCGCCGCCGCCGAGCTCGGCTTCAGCCAAGGGAGCCCCGGGCGGCCTCTTGCAGCCCGTTTTTCCCCGGCGGGATGGCCTCGGGAGGGGCGCCTCCTGCATCTTGGGGAGCTTGCCCTGCCCGCAGGGTGGAGGGGCGGCTGCTCCCTCCCTGCCAAGCCGACAACATGGGCGGCAGCCTTTCCCCGGCCTGGAGCTACTAACCAGGGGCATGAGACAACCACACCCATCCTCCCCTCCCGCCTTGGAGGGCGGACAGGTGGATTTCGCCTTCTGCCCGAAATGGGGCTCCTGGCGCTGCATCTTCCCTCCCTCCCTGCCTTTGGGGGATGCAGAATGCTCTTTTTTTTCCTGTACCCCAAAGAGTTGCTGGAGGCTTGGGAGGTTTAAAATGCCTGGCAAGCCTCTGTTTCGGGTTTCTTTGAAGTAGGATGCCTCTAAAGCTTTGGTTCCCAACCTTTTTTTGGCCATGCCCCACCTAAGCTTCTCTGAAATCCTGATTCCCCCCCCCCCACAGATAATTTTTACTTTACTCAAAAAGTGAACTCTACTCAGGTGGAGGAAGCCTAAAAGGCCATTCACTTGGTTTAAACAAGGTTCAAATTGTCCCCCCTGTGTGGTTTGTGCCACACATTGGGAACCACTGCTCTAAAATATTATCCTTCGTACTTGGAGCTTTAATCCTATGCAAAGTAAGCGGACCTCCTCCAGCTTTGACATGGCAATTTTGCGTCACACTATCGCTTTCTTTTTTTTCTCACTAACATCTCCCACCTGCTTGGATGTTGTTTATTCCAGGGGTCACCAACCTTTCTGACCTCAGGGACCACTAAATTCATAATTTCAAATACCACGTACCACTAATATGATTTTTTTAAAAAAAAGATACATAGTATTTAGTGCAATATAAAAAATGCAAGTAATTGCACCAAAATTTTCTCACGGACCACCAGTTGATGACCGCTGCTTTATTTGATAANAAATGTAAATATTGCAGAATATACATCCTCAGCGGAAATCGCGGGTGGCCCTGCCCACCTGCCCCGACTATGGCATCCCATTTAGGCACTTTTTTTTTTGAGCCAAAATGAATGTGCGGAAGCCTGAGTGCATGCGCGGACGGGACAGGGCGCGTGTGCTCACATTTGCGAACCGGTAGGGAAGGTAAGTGAATACCACCCCTGAACCTCATGCTACATAACTAAACTCCATTTCATGCTGAATACACTAAATGATTAATGTATCTGAAATTGAAAACTATCTTTAGATAGATTTTTACTCCAAAAAGCATTTTATGAAAATAAATTTAATTTAAAAAACCCGATTTAAATTTTAAAAAATATGAGTTTTTTTTTAATTTAAAAAGTCTTCAATTCCCCCTCCCCCCTCTGGTTTGAATGAATTTTCTGCATACGTATATTGTGCCTTCCTTTTTTTATAGGGCAAAAACCTGTTTTGACGAATGTCCAAGAGGAGCTGGATAGAATGACTCGCAAGCCAGACTCGGTAGTAACGTCCAACTCCTCTCTGGCGGAGAACGAAGCTTGAGAATCCTTGAACCTCCATATGTAAATGACCAAATAGTGATGTACATTGACCTGATAACACCAGGAGCTTCCTGCTGTGGCAGATGCTATCAGTTTTTTCTTGGGGAAATGAAATTTAACCTTCATTGGCTTGTCCCAGTGTCAAGTGCACATTCAGGAAGTTTTGCGTCTAAATTTCCTCTGTTTTACGATAACCATTTTAGAGTTTAAATAGGGCATTTCTCTTAATTTGGTTGCAAGCAATAGGGAGAAGCGCACAGAAGCAAGAGGTGGAGTTCCTGCTGAAAAGCCACGAGCTGCTGCTGGCACGGAGGAAGCGCCAAGTCCTCTCTGTTTTGTTTTTCCAAGTTAACTGGAGTTGGCCATGAAAATGCTTACTTGTGTTTGTAGAGGGTGCGATGTAGCAGAATGTTGGTTGATTGGATGAATGAGTGTGTACAAAATGCAGTGTTTTGAAAGGATAAAAGGCAAGACCTGATCCGTAGAAGCGAAAAGCACGTTGGATGTAAATCAAATAATCATGTCGGGAAAAAAAATAAAGTAAAATAAATGCCTTTGCAGTAGGGAAACAGAAAATACGAGCATCATGGGAACTATTCCGATGGCATTTTTTTTTCCAGTTCTAATAAGAAGATACATTAAAATATGGTGGGTGCTCTTTTTGTCATAACTGACATGGGGAGAAACTTGTTCAGACCAAGTGCCTGGCACAGTGTGAGATGTGTCTTCTTGAAGGTGCTTGAACCTCTTGTGCACTATTGTACAAACAGTGTCTGTTTAATTTTTTTATTTTATTTTAACTTGGTAACTTTTGATCGCCAGGTTGAATTTTTTGCATCCTTTTTTTTTCTTCCCCTGATAACTTTTTTTTTCTTTTTCTTTTCCTTTTCCTTTCTTTTTAATACCAACCATCTGGCCTGTTAAGAGGAATGAGGGACATGTCATTTCTCTGTAATGAAATGGAAACGCAAATCTTTCTTTTGTATCCAAGAGTTAATTGCAAAGGTCAAAACTGATTTTCTGCCTTAAGGCTTTAGAAACCCCTATGGTGAGTTTGGGGTAGCCTCCAAAATTCTCGTTCCAGATTGGATTAAACAAAGGGTTGTAGGTATACGCAGGAGAAGGGGAAAAAAACGCAGACTTACGTGACTTCATTACATTTGTGCTTTACCCCTTCGGTGTTGCCTTTTCAATGTGGAAATGATTTTGACGGTTGGCTCCTGTTGCTGCTCAGACGAGATCCTGTAGCCACTTGGAGTAAGACTCCCACAGTTAATCAAAATGGCACTTTTGAGTTTCTGTACAATTCATTTGACAGAGAAACACTAACTTATTTGTACCAAACTTGTTTGTAAGCAACACATTGGAGGGATATACCACCATGGATGATGCAGAGTTTACTTTGTATTGATAAAAAGGTTTTTTGTGTTAACGTTAAATCTTGTTTCTGAATAGAACAACCCTAATATTTATATACCTATATCTATATATATTGTTATATATACGAAATAAATTGACCACTAACACATTACTGGATGTAATTGCAACCCACCTGTTGTAGAGAGAGGCCATTCCTCTTTGTTTTTGTAAGTCTGTCTAAGGCTAGCTAGAAAACTAAGAGTATTTACTTGCATTAACATGAAAATACGTTTACTCATGTCAGTTACTTTTTTTTTTTAATACAATACATGTTCGACTACATTACAAAACTCAGTTTTGCCCAATGTTACCTGGCTCTTACACTGAGAAGTTGTGATCAGGGAATTTGGTGTGTCTTTTGGCTGCCATTACAAGCCAGCGTAGGCTTTGCTATATTGTAAAATTAGCCTTGTGCCATCCCAATAGTAATAATTCAATCTGTCCCCATGGCAGGACCTTTTAAGTACACCCTATTCCAGTGATGGGGAACCTTTTCAGCCCCGAGTGCCCACAAACCGGAATGCATGTGCATGCGCGCGCACCCAAGCACGGGAAACCCGAAGACCAGCTGGTAGGTGGGTATGTGTGCTCCTGCCAGCTGCTCTTTGGGTTTCTGCCGTGTGTGTGCACGCTAGCCAGCTGGTCTTTGCGCATGTAAGAGCACTGAAAACCCGAAGATCAGCTGGCCTGCCGGCGTATGCCTGTTTTGGGGGCGTTTTTTGGCTCAAAAAAGGAGTCTGAAAACAGCCT